ACAGTAGGTTTACTGCTCGCAGTCGTATTCTCTTCCTTGCACGACAATGCCTTTTCACTGCATCAGCCTTCTTCAATCATCACTTCCCTCACACATTCCCGGTGGTTCGCCGGGTTTTTGCCTCTCGTAACCAGCGTTGCTGCCTCGATCGCGATTGTCTTGTCTGTCTGCCCACATATGTGCCTGCATTCCTGCGTGATTTTATTCTTGAGTCTGGTCAGGATTGGCTTCATCGTCTAATTCACCCCCTGTCCACTCTCCCATGTTATTTTTCTCTCCCCTCTGCTGAGCGCCGTGTGCTGTTTTCATTCCGCACCGGCACCTATACTTGTACTGTCACAGATGGTCGGCTGACTCATCGGCCTCGTCTCCTACGCTTCTGCCCATTCTGCGCTGCTACTTGCCCTCCCGCCAGCTGGCCGATGCCGTGGCTTGTGCCGCCTGTTGAGGATCAGTTGCATGTGCTTTTCTATTGCCCGCTCTATAGCTCTCCACGTAGGGAGGTTTTCCGTGTTGTTCGCATGTATGGATTGACTGCACCGGATGGTGTGGTGTATTTTTGGTGGGATCTCGCTCGTTGTGATGCCCTGGTGTTCGCATGGTCATTGCTTACTTCGCGCTCTCTCCCTGTGCAACGTGCGTTGGCTCAGTTTCTTTTGATGGCCGTGGCTTCTCGCAAGCGCTGGCTTTCTTTGCACCCGTCAGCTTAGTTTTCTCGATATGACAAACGCTTTCATGGACACAGCATCTGCCCTCAGGGGCCGGGACCTCGGTGTCCGTTAACAAACGAACGAACGAACGCATACGTCGCGAGCTTAAGCTCGCAGGCGCCTTCCCTTTGACAACGCACGTGTGGTCACAATGAAGCGAGGTAAGTCAAAGTGCGTGAGGAGGAGGAAGCAACAAGGCCATCAGTTGGCTTGGATCTGTGTCCAATTGTGCCAGGACGAGGCGGCAGCGGCGGCGGGAAGCTGAAGGTGACGTACGGTGAGTGACCAAGCGGCAGAGGACAGCACAACACGCACAGCAGAGGAAAGGTGGCGTGACACCAGCTGACTTACTGTGAAAGACCCTCTTCTCTGTCTGGGTGTGTTCGGCAGGTTTGAACACCGGCGCTCTGATCAACTGCTGTGACAACAGCGGTGCCAAGAACATCTTCATCTTCGCCGTCCATGTACGGCACCTGACGCGCGCACACATCACAGATCTGATCTACCCCACTGCGCCTGTGTGGGTTTGTCTGTCTGGTGTCTGTGTGTCTGCAGGGCAACAAGTCTTGCCTCAATCGGCTGCCTGCCTGCTCGATCGGCGATATGGTGCTGGGGACGGTCAAGAAGGGCAAGCCTGACCTCAGGTGCGTGCGAGATGACCGAGCTCGTCCGGCTTTGACGGACTGAGCGTCCATCTGTTGGTTGCGGGGTGCTGTTGTTACGATACAGGAAGAAGGTGTTGCCGGCCATTGTGGTTCGTCAGCGGAAGGCGTGGAGGCGGGCTGAGGGCATCTTCATCTACTTCGAAGGTCGGCCGAAGTGGCCACCAATGCCCAATGCCAACACAACGCCGCTCACCAGACACATGTGGTGTGGTGTGTTCTGTTCTGTTGTGCTATGCTGTGTTGTCTTGTGTTGATCGTTTTAGACAATGCTGGTGTGATAGTGAACCCCAAAGGCGAGATGAAGGGCTCTGCGATCACGGGACCTGTCGGCAAGGAGTGTGCCGAGCTCTGGCCTAAGATCGCCTCCGCCGCGCCTTCCATCATGTAGGGGCAGGGCAGAAGACATAGCTGCACAGCAAGACAGGCAGGCAGGACGCGGCGCTCGCATGCCGCATGTCATGTCATGTGGGCGAGTGAGTGAGCTCTGTCGGTGCTTGCTGATACGCATGGATGGGAGGGCTGGAAGGATGGATGAGACCTGACATGGATGCTTTTCATTTCAAGTTGTGCGCACCGCACTGAGGCGATAATCTGACCTGCTCGCTCCTGTGAGTCCATCCCGTCGGTCGACGTGGTGTGGTCCGACATCATCCGCAGCCAGCACCAAGGCGGAGGTTCAGGCCGAGCTGCGAATAGTGTCGGGCCATGCCACAATGACCGTGAGAGTACTGATGCCTGCCTGCATCAGCCATTCACGGTCAACGAACCCGCCCCCTCGGGACATACACTCAGCATAAAGGTCACGAGTAAGAAAAAAAAGACGAAAATCACACAGACACAGGTGCACGCAACTCTGTAAAAACCTCATTGTCTGGGCGCCTCTTCCCTCGCCCCCCGTTCCTCCCTCTTACAAATACGTCTGTCTGCAAATCGGAAAAAAGTGTCTGTTGGTGAGTGGTTGGTGCGACACGCTATCCTATGCACTCATCTCCTCTGCCCGCCCGTCAATAAAAGAACAGCTGGGCTGCCGACACAAAAGAAGAATGTCCGCACGAGACGACACAGTGGTCGTCCATCCGCATCAGAATACACGTAAACTAAAACTCGACAGTGCTCTCGGCCAGCACCATATCAGTCCTGAAACAGAGAAAGAAGGGGACGCCCGTGTGTGTGTGTGTGTGTGTGTGTTGGTGTGTGTTGGTGTGGATATGCTGCTGGTCTGTGCGCGGATGGACGCGCTTACGTGTTTGTCTTCTTCTTGATGTGAAGTGTCGACGGCCGGTCCAGCTGCGCCTGCCACGGAGCCATCACCGTCAGTCAGAGCCCTACACATGGCTGCATCCTTCACGCGTTGCTCTGCCTACGTGCGTGAGCGTCCCATCTTTGCCGTTCGCCTTGGGCTGCTCGTGGACCGCGCCAGTGCCGTTCTTCTCCGCAGATTCCCCAGCACCAACAGCAACTAGAGCAGCAGCAGCAGCAGCAGACTGCTCCCGTGCTGCCCGCTTGCTCACGGGCGGCGGGAGGGGTTTGTCATCAGGGTTGGGGATGAAACCAAAACCGGCCTTGCGGGAACTGCATGGGGGATGGCGGACACAAAGACCGAGCACAACAGAGCACACAGTCACTCACTCTCGCAACGGCCTGCCCGTCCGGCACTCGCTTACAGTTTGTCCTTGAGAGCTGCGATTCGTCCGCTGCTTGACCCCTCCTCCCCATCGCCCTCCGTCTGGGCCGGTTCTGCAGTGGCGGCAGATGAAGAGGGGTTCTCGTGGCCGTCGGCTTGGGCCGGGCTGCACCCACACAGAGAGAGAGTAGAGGTAGGATCTGGAGAGGAGCGTCATTCATTCACCCACCTGCCGGTCTCTGGTTTCGGGGTGGTCTTGGGAGGCGGAGGTCCGCCGGGCATCAGCGGCGCTCCGCCGCCTTGGAACTTCTTCAGAAGCTCAGATACCTTCCCTGCGGGCACGTCGGTCATCCTTTCCGCTTCTCACCAGAAAGATCCGCTGCCTACCTCCACTGCGAGCTAGTACGGCTGAGCGATCCCTCTTCCTCTCCCCCGAGATGAGTTCGTTTGGCATTCGTGTGTTCAGGACGGACGCTGGCGCGATGTGCTTGAAAGGCATTGTAAGGATCCATCCATTCATCGAACAGATCTATCTCACTTCGTTATCCGTCTGTATCTGTGTGAGCAGACGCGGTATGCTGCGACGGACTTCGCCGTGCAGGAGATCAGCCTCCAGAACGGCACCGCAGCATCGCTTGTCGCCCCACAGGCGAGTGCGAATAGGGATCTCTCTGCCCAGCCTCAAAAGCAGGATGCTGACAAATCGGCGTGGTATCTTGGGTGCCTCTACAAGGAGAATTTGTCATCGTCGAGAGCTGTCGAGCTGCTGTGGAATACACTGCGGCAATTCAGCTCCAAGAAGGAAGCTGGAGCTGCCGTGCAGTTCGCAGGTGAGCTGCACGGTCCGTGAGGCTGCCTGCAGTGTGGATGAGTGTGCCCGCATCATCTCATCTGCGTGTTGGCTGTCAGGTCACAAGGACAGACGAGCTATCACGTGTAAGCACACACACGCAGACACACACTCACCGCAACTTGGCAGAGGTATGTATGTCTGGGCCCGAGGTGCAGGTCAGCACGTGAGGTTGGCGAGTCGCGACATTGTCCCGCCTTCCATCCGCAAGCAGCGGCTCAGCCGACTCAACAAGACACTCGCCACACAGGTCGCCACACACGAGAGCCAGCTACGGAACCATGACCCATTTGGCTGTCGGCCTGTGTCAGGGGAGCCGCATTGAGCTGGGTCCGCTTCAGAGGGTTCCTGCGAGTTTTCGGCTGCGCAAGGGGGAGATCGCCGGCAACAGATTCCACGTTAGTGAACAAGTAGTGGGGCATCCGTGGGATGATAGAGATGTCCGTCTGTATCCTGGTCAGATCCTCATCCGTGGAGTGGAAAGTGACTCGGAGAGCGACATGTCCACAGCTGCAATCGCTGAGAGGCTTGTGGAGCAGCTCATGGAGCGCGGCTTTGTCAACTACTATGGTGGGTTCGTGCCTGTCTTGTGGACATGTATCCTTCAGCGATTCATCTTCACGTTCTATCTGCTCTGCGCTTAGGCGAGCAGCGCTTCGGCGGTGGTGTGAGGAACGGCGCCGCGATGGGCTTGTGCCTGCTCAAAGGCCAGTGGCGCACTTCAGCTGACCTTCTCATGCAGTCATACGCACAGGACGGCACAGACAGGTGAAAACGGAAATCGAGCGGATACTGTGACCGCCCCTATATATCCACGCGCATGTGTTGGCTGTGCCTCTCAGTTCCATGGCTCAGGCGCTGGCTGCCTACCAGTCGCGAGACTACCTCGCAGCTGTCAAGGCCATTCCCGAGGGCTTTGCGCCACAACGGTCCCTCTGCATGCACCTCATGCAGCGACCTGGCGACTTCAGGTCAGTCAGGTGGGGAAAGGAAAAGCCTCACTCACGGGAAGAGACCGACTTGGCACACCTACCTGACGGCATGCATGCTGGCTGGGGTTTCATTCATGTCAGGGGTGCTTGGATGAGGCTGCCCGCACGGTTTAGATCACTCACGGTACGGTGTGCCGTTTTCTGCACTCACGGGCCGGCCTTGATGGCATGGCATGGATTGATAGACAGACCCATGTATGGGTGTGGTGCGGTGCCGTGCGTGCAGCTGGACTCCTATGCGAGCCTCGTGTGGAACAGGGTGGCGTCTCACAGGCTGGACGAGATGGGTCAGGAGGCAGTGGAAGGCGACCTGGTACGGTGGGTGCGGGCGCAAACAGCAATAAGCCGATCCACACATCCATGGCCATCTTGCCCGCCCCTCTGGGTGCGTCTCTGTGTGTGTGTGTGTGGGGGGGGGGGGGGGG